GGGTTATAATGTTAAAAGGATGAGATCGAGGAGATGATAAGGGGGTTAAGGTTCTATTTCTTAAAATATACAATTTCAATGTACACATATATCATAATCAATATTTCGGTAGTGATGGCCAGGGAGGTTGGGGTAGGTGTCCTCAGCTGATAATTTCATATAAACTATGTGTGCCCTCAGCTGATAATTTCATGGATTGCTTTATAAATATCTCGAAATATTTTGAAAATATATTTGTTCTCTTACTCATTAGGTCTTTTTGCACTGCTTTTTAATTCGGATTCAGGAAGGTGCCTTTGTGTGCGAGCCATTTATCGTCGTGAAACGAGCTGGCATTGATGGTTATCAGTTGTGGTCCACTGCCCAGCTGGAGAACAAACTGATTGACATGCGGGAGATGTACAATGAAAAAATTACTGGAGTCGAAAGGTACTTCTAGTGATACTTTGATCCCTACAGCACCTTAGCCGAGGTATCACTTATCATTTCTGTTTGGTATACTTTTTTTCTGGAATTTGACGTAATTTTATTTCCTCCGAAATGCTTGAGCGAAGTTACAAAATAGTTGTGGATAAACGGCCGTTGCAGGGGCGATGCCTGTACGTCAGATCAGACCGTGGAACAAGATGATTTTGCATTTCAAAATGATTCCGATATTGACATAAGCTGCAGTTCTTTCGGAGAAAATGTCTTCGAGAGTCAGGTTGACGTTAACTGCTATCAGTAATGGTGTGCCCGACTTCCTATATAGTAGAAACTAGTATCAGTTTTCGCGCTCTCAAACTTCAGCTTGCACCATCTTGTCTTTCCTTCCGTTTTCGCAGAATATCAGTTTTTAGTGTTTTGCTGTCTATGTTAAGCAATTTCAAAGCTCTCCGATTGTTTCTTGTTGTAGTTGGTATTTTTATACCAGTTTTTGTCCTACAGCTTTTTAACTATATTTTATTTTGATAAAAGTCTACGCACCCTAGACAAAATTTTACGTCCGTTTGGCTGACCATTGCGTCCTTATAATAAATTTTAACCACTACTACGTTTTACACTTTTTCACTCAGCTTTGATCATAATATTTCCTAAAACAAGTGGATCTGGTATTCTGACCCAAGCAGCAAGTGCCATTTTTTGTCTGTGGTGGATCACCACTGAAATTATCTCTTCATACAAATGTTTTTGCATGTTTTAGGAGCATCACAGTTTAATTGGTGTTGCCAATGTTTTTTTGGAAGTTCTGTTCCATGACATGAGATTGGATTATCAAGTTCCCATTATCAGTCAGCAGGTATTTAGATTTTGATATTTGTATAATTGACTGTGGAATAACAATTTGATTGGCCGATTTGGCCTGCTTTTCTTATACTGGCAAACATTTTGCTTATTCTGCTTTAATCAATTCAACTTGGCTTACTATATGCGCATTTAAATAGGAAGAGTATACTGAGTAGTTTTTCAAGTTGGTGGGGTTAATATTGGAATTATTGCGTAACTTTTCCGCAATAACACACTTTATAAGTTAATTTCAGAGCTTGTACAGCGACGAAGGCATTCATTCTATCAAAGAAAAAAAATTTCCAGGCAAATAGCGAGCGTTTCAGTATAATTTTGTAGGGTGAAGTAAGCGGAAGACTCCATGTTGAAATATATCGCCTGCCCGATATGGATGATTCTGGCTTTGTAAGCAGCTTGGATTCATTGGATTCAAATCGGGGAAGTGTGGACCCACAAAACATTGGCGCAACATTTCTCGGAAGGACGATCAAATGTCGA